CCGCGGTGTGGGCGGGGGCTGCATGTGGCAGGTTTGCTCTTCCTCCCACCCCCGCCATTGGCTTCTTGCTCCATTTCTAACTTGTTCAGAGCCTCTTAGGGAGTGTGTTAGAGAGACAGAGAGAGGGAGGTGAGTCAGAGTGTCTGGCTGGGTTGTGTAAAACCTGCAGTGAAAGCTACCCCACCCCCGCTAGACAGTGGTGTTAGGGCTTTCCTTTGTGTTAGTGCTTCTTTTGAGGAATTTTGTGCGTCTTCCAAAATCAAAAAGTATCAGGGAAGTGGTCTACGATTTTTGATTTTTTTTTTTTTGCAAGAATAGGGCAGTCCGTTGCATGTATTGTCACTTGATTTGTTCTACCTGAAGATATTTTTAGCTTAATTATGATGCTTATTGCATTTGAACAGATATCTGGAAACATGGCTACTGAACATGTTAATGGGAATGGTACTGAAGAGCCCATGGATACTTCTGCTGCAGTTACCCATTCTGAGCATTTCCAGACATTGCTTGATGCTGGTTTACCACAGAAAGTTGCTGAAAAACTAGATGAAATTTACGTTGCAGGTAAGATGTAAAACTTGCAAAACCACACTTACAATATCTTATTGGATTCTGCTGTCTTTGGGCTAAAATAGCAACTTTTTGTGGTTTCCAAAAGTATGGGAACTGCAGTCTTACCAAAATCTGTGGATGTTTTCCATTCAGTGCTTTAATTTGTCCTAGTATTTTTCAGAGAAAAGTCTTGGGCCAGGCCACTTGGGCTGTGAGGGGTGGGAAGGAGGAAAAGTATGCAGATGACCATAGCAACAGCTGGAATAGGCAACAGATGATTTTTAGGAGGAGTAGGTGATGTGGTCTTTGTGCACTTTTTACAGTAGTTGTAGGTAACTGTAAGTAACTGAAGCCTTGGTATTCATCTTCTCATGTAAATGATACTTGGTGACATAGTATTTGGGCTCATGGATGCAAAGGTTATTGTATTGGTTCTCTCAGACAGAGTAATAGCTAGCATTTTTTAAGCTTGATTTCTGGATTGTGGTGGTCACTTTTAGTGCTGCAGTTTATTTGGCTTTATAGTTTTCTCAAAATGTACCAAGGTACCATTGCTAGGCAAGCTAAGTCAGGTTTTGATAGATCCTTCTGAATTCAGCTTCAGGATATTGAAAATAAACTCGGCCCGTGTATCATCTGGGTTTCACAGAAGTCAAACGAGTACATAAATGCAGTAACTGTTACTCTGAATCTTAACTTTTTTTGACACTTTTTGATGGAAAAAAAGGTTAAATACACTTAAATACTTACCTTTAAGAGGACTAAGTGATTTCTTAGGTATAGTAACTTATGTTAATCGGTGATTGATTCAGGGGTCACTGAAATGTGTTACATGCGTTAAATGTGATTAAACAAAGATTGCTGCCCAAATATAATTAGTAATTTTTTTCTTTTCTCTAGGGCTAGTTGCACATAGTGATCTAGATGAAAGAGCTATTGAAGCTTTAAAGGAATTTAATGAAGAAGGTGCATTGGCAGTGCTTCAGCAGTTTAAAGACAGTGATCTCTCACATGTTCAGGTAACGTTAAGCAATTTAGAATATAATTGTTGAGGGATAAACTGCTAGCTGACTGGCAAAAGGTTTGCTTAAGTCTCTTCAGTGGTCCATATGTGATATGTAAAACGGGCACTGTATTAGTTCAAGGTAAAATTAGATTCTGGCTTGTTACGTTTTCAGAACTGAAGATTAATATGTCTTTTGCAGAACAAAAGTGCCTTTTTATGTGGAGTCATGAAGACATACAGGCAGAGGGAAAAACAGGGGACCAAGGTGGCAGATTCTAGCAAAGGACCAGATGAGGCAAAAATTAAGGTATGTGCCTAAAAGATAAGTTATGCGGTCTGTCTGTGTTTTTTCAAAGCTGTTGTGACAGATACCTTGATTCTTTTGGAACTGTGCTTTTCTTAAAAAGACTATTTTAGATTATTTGTCATTATTTGAAAGCTGTCACTTGCATTTTTATCTTAAACTTCATCCTCTTCAAGAGGAAACTTAATATACTTTTAATTACTGGAACTGAATGTATATAAAAGTGAGAAAGATTTGACAGTTTGCTTTATGTCTAGTTGAGACAGTTCTACTATTTCACAGTTAAGTTTTCGGAAACTTGTCAGCATAGATCTTTGAGTTGACAATGCGTAACTTCAGCTACTGGTGTTTTGGTGTTGGGTTTTTTTTTTCCTTCAGTTCAGGTTTAAAGCAACTCCACAATACAGAGGAGACACCACGTGTGTCTGAAAAGACAGATTGTAAAGCATTCAGGATTTAGCACGCTTCTTGTGGCATCATCACTGTTCTCATAAACTGTACCCCAAACTGTCTTAGTAATGGACATGTTATTTCTTAGACCGAGTCTTCTGCTAGCAGGAGACTCCTGTCTCAAGAGTGAGGCATACTACGATTTATTTTAAAATTCTGTGATGAGCAACTCTTTCCTTAAGCTTTGGTAACTCTCTAAGCACGCTTAATTGATGTCTTAAAAAGCAAGAGAATCTTTCATCTTTAACTTTTCATGTGTAAACTGCAAAATGAATGTGTTTATATATTACAAATAACTATGTAGCTTGCGAAACTAGAAAATCTTTATTCTCTTGACTTTGAGGCTGGGATGCCATTAATTATAAATTCAAAAAACTGATATGGTTTTTGTCACTACCACATAAAACAACAACAATATGAGGACTTGGTTAACTAACTTAAAGTAGCATAGCTTTTACTGCTGATGGCTATAGCATTTAAAATAACTTTGCAATTTTCCAGTTGTGAAATTACTAACTCTTGATTATAATTAGGCTTGTTTAATATGCTGTTTCTTTGTGTGTAGGGTTGATTTGTCTTTGATTTGTACAAAATTATTAAGAAAGACTAATTTCAGAGGAGTTTCTCATCATATATTTACATACTGAAATTTCATCTAACATTTTAAATTGGTAGTATATCTGTCACTGTATGCAGTGATTCCAGTGAGGATCAGTTGTGCTGGGATGCTATATGTGCCCACAAGGAATTTGGGGGGGGGACGGGGGACGTGGAGGACAGGATAGGAGAAAGGAAGTAGTACTACCATTTCAGCAGTGGGATACCTGAAGCAGTCAGTACGGTGTTCCAGGGGTGTAAGCACTTAAACATGTGTTCTTGAACTTCACACTTATGAGTAATCTCATTAAGTGAAGGGAACTCCTGTGCATAAGTGTTTGCAGGATTGGACATGCCAAAACAAGAAGTGGCTCAGACTAAGATCTTTCTAATTAAAGGGAAGCTCGCTATTCTATTACTTGGCCTTTTTTTGGTATGAAAATGAAGGAATTGGGAAAACTCTATGTGAATCTCTAATTTTCTGGCAGTGTTTCTTTACTTGATAGTTCTAATAATTGTTTTGCGAGTTTCTTGTTGAAGTACTAGCAGTAGGCTTGTTTGCCTGTGGGAGTTTCAAAGCAGTACAGTTTTAAGACGAATTATAAGCGTGTCTGTTTGTGAATGAAGTTCATCTAAACTAGCTCAGTTTGTGTATGATTGTAAAATTTTAAGTTTCTTACTTGAAGGCGCTCTTGGAGAGAACTGGCTACACTCTTGATGTGACTACTGGACAGAGAAAGTATGGTGGACCTCCTCCAGAGTCTGTATATTCAGGACAACAACCTTCTGTTGGTACAGAGGTAAGGAGAAGGCGATGTTTATGTAGATGTATTCTTATTCATTGGAAGTATTTTTTTTTTTTTTATAAACAACACTCTATGTCTGTTGTAGATATTTGTGGGCAAGATTCCAAGAGACTTGTTTGAAGATGAACTTGTTCCATTATTTGAGAAAGCTGGCCCTATATGGGATCTCCGCTTAATGATGGATCCACTGACTGGTCTAAATAGAGGATATGCTTTTGTCACTTTTTGTACTAAAGAGGCAGCTCAGGAAGCTGTTAAACTGGTAAGTTTTCTGACTTGGATGTTTTTTTCTTTTAAGAATACTCTCTGGCTTATAAGCAGTTGTCCTGGTCCTAATGCTTAAATGCTTAAGATGCCTCATTGTTAGGTCATTTCATAAATGTCCACTAGATGTTTTTAAATATTTCCACATTGTGTATAAATTTTTACTGGCTGTATTAGGGATAGGAAAAAAAAAAAGCCAGTGGGCTGCTGTTTTGTCCAGTTAGATGAGCCTTTATTATTAACAAAAGTTGTGTTAGCCATAGTGACTTCTGAGCTGTCTGCATCTGGATGAGTTTTGGAGGAAGTGGTGTTTGGGTTGCTATTGGTCAGGTTGTCTGTGATTTCTGATGTGCTTGTGCACCAGCAGGGGGCCCTGTGCTGGAAAAATGCTTCTAAAGTCACAGAATTTCGTAAGATACTTCACATGGGAGATAATCACTCTTGAGTGTTAAGGTCTGTTCTGTTTGCTGCAACTGACTGGGGGAAAAAAAAGTCATAAATCCTGCCAGGTTAAAAAACATTTCCTCTGTTTTACACAGGTGTGAAATAGTTTGATATAAGGAATAGGCCACTCTTAAGCTTTCCCGGTTTTATGCAGGAAGTATCCATCATTAAAAAAAGAGGGGGGGGGGGGGAGAAACACAGCCCTGATCCTCGCACTGCCCCTTTTGTTTTTCTAGTTAAGTTGAATTTGAGTTTTTGGAGCTAGTTACTACTGCATTGATATGGCCAAGATCAGTGCGCGACATGACCCTCAGGAGTGCTAATGATACTCATTCTGAGGTGTACTGATACTGTATTAATACAGTAGGGTTAAAATCTCTGTTTTGTAATAAGGTACATCTGAAACCATTAAGGTACCCTATTGACATATTATTAATGTAAGTCAGTTGGTGGAGACAAATCAAGCTGAAGATGGGAAGGTGTTTTGAAAAAGTATAGAAATGTCTACAAAAGTAGGAGTACAAAAATATCTGGTATATGCTGTTTAGCTTTTTAAATAAGAACGGTTGGTGTTCCTGTGTGCAATCCAAATATACTGAGGATAACTGCGTATACCTCTTTGACAAAGTACAACTTAGCTATTTATATTGTGGGTGAACTCTTAAGAGTTACGCACATGGCTTAGCAAAACAGTGAATCAAATCAAATATGTTCTCAGAGGCAGCTAGTAAATGAACAAAAAGGAACTTCTCTTCACTTAGCTGGATTTTGCTTAAAGGCAGTATGCTCTGAAAAGTCATTTGGGTTGTGTTTCTATAAAAGTAACATCAGATCCTAGCCTCAGTCTTCCACTAAATGATACAAGGGAAGGAGGTACTTGGTGTCCCTTTATAGCTGATCTTTGATATGCAGGGGGGAAAAAAAGTGTTGTGTTCTGTGTTTCAGTTAAATAGCCACTGAGTGTAATAGTTGAAAAGTGTTGTGATTGATGGGGCAGTTTTTCAGCCTTCATGCTAACTTATTTGAGGGCAGGGTTAATTTTAAATTGGATCCTGTGGCATTTGTCAGCTTTTGAGTGGTTCCAACCATGGTTGGCTGGCTAGTTTGGTGTATTATAAGTTTCCCAACCTGTCTAGGGGTGATTTGCAGGGGTACTAGTGAAATACAGCTGTAGAGCTCGGTTGAAAATCATGGGTCTATCACTTGTATTAGTTAGACATGCATGGGAGAGGCTGCTGACAGACCTCTTAGAAATGCTGAACCCTTGGTCCTAGCCACTTTAATATCCTAGTATTTTAACAGGTGGTGTTCTTTTTGATACTACCTATAATCTTCTGATGTGTATACAACTTATTTCCCAACTTTCTGGACTCCCTGGGATAGGGGTTCTTTTGTTATTTCCCACCTTCTTCCCAGAGGCGCTTTTCTTCCCTGCTATTCAGGACTCTGAAGTATAGCAAAAATGAGAATAAAAATCTCTGTATTGCCTGTAGGCTTCTGAGTAATAAGAGACAGCTATGAGATTTTGTCAATACCCAAACTGCAGCAGAGAATAAACTGACCTGTCTTCAAGCTCTTGCAGTTGGTGTAACATATTTTGCATACAATTCATATTTGTGCGGCTGTTGTATCATCCACAGTCTTTATAACAACTTAATGTAAAACTGAACTAAAATTTTTTGATAAACTTAGTGTTGACTTACCCTATTCATTAACCAGAAGAAATCTTGCAATTTAAAAGGTTGAAGCCTTGATTTTGTTTACGCATATGCATTTTTAAGCCACTTAAAGGGGAGAATTCCCTAAATTTTGTTTGAAATGCCTTTGGGGCTGTGCTTGAGACAAAAATGGAGTGATGCTATGGCCTTATACTGAGAAGACTTACAGATACAAACAGCAGTTAATTTTATGTCCAGGGTTAACCCTCACTGCTTAAGTAGAAATGGCATCTCAAATGTTCACACAAGCACTGATTATCAGAAGTCTGACTTCTTTTGCTTTTGTTTTTTTTAACCCCTGGCAAGTTGTTTCTTGTTAACATGTTTGTGTTTACCTTCTGTTCTATACTGGTTGAGTTAAGAATTATAACTCTAGTTGTGTTCTCTTGCACACATGTTCAATTCTCCCTCATACTTCATAGGAAGTTGTTAGATTTCAGTTTTTCAAAAGATTTCTGAGTGATTAAGGTTACTGTAGACATATACAGGAGAAATATTTGTGAGGTGAAGCTTTTAGGAAAACATACTGTGAAAACTATAGTAGCATACGGTGTATTTTTGACTAGAGCAAGTGTAAGCTTGATCAAAGTGCAGGTACAGGTGAGTTACGCAAATATGCCCCTTAAGCAGTTTGCCAGCTATGCATAGCAGTACAACTTGCCATTTGCTGCTGGAAATAAACTAAAATTGCTGGTGAAAGTTTAAGTGGATAAAATGACAAGACAGACCTTATGCATACTTTGGCCTATTTGTGAGTAGGTTCTTACAGAACTCAGCAGAAAAAAAACCCCAACCTATTACAGTGTCTAGAGGGTAGTAATATCCCTGTTACTAATTTCGGGCATTGATTCAGTGGTGACAGGAGGGGGAAGCAGTGTGCTGACATAGCTAATTTGGTAGCCTGACTGTTTTGGCGCTTTACCCAGGTCATGATTTGGGCCTGTTCATGTCTAATCTAAGTTTACACATGGTATGCAAACTATTTACCTAAAAAACACCAACTCTATATTCAAGACCACCTAATTCAAGACTGTTTTCTCTGTGTTAAGAGAAACATACAATGAAAAGTAGTAGTTAATGTATTGTAGCATGAAAAAACTACTAGAAACTACTGTTAGTGTGGAATTGCAATATGTAGAATGTTTTAATTTTTTTAAAATCATTATTTTGTTGCCATGAGTTAGTTGTATGTGAGGCTTTTTTTGGATTAAATGCGTAGGCAAACTTTGGTCTTAGACTCTAACAGGAACAGTCAGATAATATCTTCCATTATCCATATAGAATAGACTCTTTCAGTTGGAAGGGACCTACAGCAACCATCTAGTCCAACTGCCTGAACAGAAGTTAAAGCATTATTATTAATGGCATTGTCCAAATGCCTCTTTTAAACACTGACAAGAATGGGGCATTGACTACCTCTCTAGGAAGCCTGTTCCAGTGTTTGACCACCCTCTCAGTAAAAAAGTGTTTCCTAATGTAAAGAAATGTTTCCTAATGTACACTTCAGTTAATGAAGAATCAGTTTGTGTCTTGTTTACAGACTAATAAACTGTCAGCTTTTTTTTAAAGGTGTTTCTTTACAGTAGCTCAAAAAAATACTTTAATCTGTCTTTTCATTAATGTGTATAATTCTGTTTATTAATGATCATAATGTATTTACAGTCTTCCTATGCAGCTGTTTCCTACTTTAAAATCAACTATTTCTCTGCTGCATGGGCAACAGATATGGAGATAGAAGTCTTTATCCTACTATGTTTTGTGACATAATTAGTTGGGAGGATGCCATCCCAGATCCTTTTCACATGTACAGTTATCCTTTTAGTTCACGTTTGGTGCAGTTGTCTAGCTTTGAAAACTTTCAGTGATGTATTTTTTTGTTTGCACGAGATAAATATAAATAAATAAACATCTTCACCCTGATTTTAGTGTACAAGGCAAGAAGGGATGTGGGAGAACTTGCTTATGCAGGAAGGTTTACCACCCAACTCAAAATAACTCATAGAATAAATAGCTAGATTAAATTTTAAAAAGCTATTCTGCTACTTGTCAATAAGATGTTGACCACAAAATACATTTTCCTGGCTAAAGAACTGTCTGCTGCAGGGCTTCCAGTTGGAAAGGGGTTGATGTCTCACCAGTTGACCTCCCTGCTGCTTATTTGGATGATGCATGTCTGTCTGCATCTCAATGAAAGGCATTTTTTTGTCAACAGATGTCTACAATAATACTTTTTTTTTTTCCTTAAACTGCTGACTTGTTCAGGGTGTCTTCTAAATAATCTGTTATGGGAGAAACATTTGAACAGAAGTCTTAGGATTTCAAGTCAGTAGAAGGTTGTTCTTGCTGTTCACTATCTTTACACATGTAATCTATGTGCTTTGGAAAGTATTTGCCAATTGCTCTTGCATGTTTTGTGGAGAAGACCTCATCACGGCTCTCTTTTGTTAACTATGGAACTTTAGAAGAGAATCTGACTTTTGTAACTCCTTCCTTGTATTATACACAATTCAAGAATTCATAGGTACAATCTATAGAGGAACTTGCGTTTTTTTTCTGCACTGTTGTGAAGGGAGAAGCCTTGGCCTTGATGACTTGGACATAAGATTTACCTTTCATGGTTCTACATGAAAAAGTCTCTAAAGAAACATGTATTAAGAAAAAGGCTTGAACAAGAAGGGAAGAATAATTGTTGGCTGAAATTGTGGAGATATCTTAGAGAACATGGGTATACTTCAGAACGGTTGAATATGCATCATAAGAATGTGTTAAGCTCCACAGAATTCAATATATTACTAAGTGCTATATTTGCAAAAGTAAAATATTTGGTATGCTGCTGTTGGAGGGGAGTGAAAATTATCTGTAACTGATGATTGTCCAATTATTTTTCTTTCAGTACAACAACCATGAAATTCGTTCTGGAAAACACATTGGTGTATGCATCTCTGTTGCCAATAATAGGCTTTTTGTTGGTTCTATTCCTAAGAGTAAAACCAAGGAGCAAATTGTTGAAGAATTTAGCAAAGTAACAGGTAAGTCAATAACTATGTTTTGTAGAGCTGGAGAGATGTCAGACATGAGTGATGAACTCTTGGCTTTGGTTGAATGATGATTAATCCAAACGAAGACCACTCAGCATTTGTCCCGACTTGTAGGTGTTTCTGGTTTTGTTTTGTTTTTTTTTTTTTTAAACCGTTGTTGTGCTGAGGGCTGAAATATTTGTGATAGGACTAGATGTGTGGTTCCAAGTTTTACCTAGAGAATAAGTGTGTAATGTTTAAAAAAACCCATGCAAAGAAATAGATGGTTTAATTATTTCAATACTAATGTTTTAGTACTTTTCAAGGCAAAACTGAAGCAGGTTGGAGAACGTAACTAGTTCTGTGCTTCAGAATTCTTAGTGATTTGATAAGGATCTCTTGATAATGGCATATAAACTGGCAAAGGTAATGGTGGCTTTCTCTGTTACTGAATGATATACTTCAGGTTCCTTGGAGTAACACTGGAACGTTTTAGATGTCTTAAAATAGTGCAAGCTTGATCTCTTGTTGTTTAGACATCCATGGAAAAAACACATGCTGATAAGCGGTGTGACTTAAGGGTTTGAGAGGAGAACTGACAAAGCTCAACTTCTGGCTGCCCTTATCTCTTCTCCATTCAATTAGAGGAAGGGTACTCTTCAATAGCTACTAAGCTTTCTTCACTTAATAAAAATGGAACCTGAGTTGGCATAGTCTAATGTCTCTCTTTGAAAATGTTGGTCTTGAAGGTAGAGAAATTGTATTATGTACGTGGTCTCAAAAGTCTAGTGTGTTCATGCTTTTTTGGAACCACTTGTTAGATGCATACTTGCCAGAAAGATAATCCCTACTTTATAATACAAATTCATGGATTGAAGCCATAACAAATAAATATTTTGCTTAATTTCAGAGGGTCTTACAGATGTCATATTGTATCATCAACCTGATGACAAGAAAAAGAACCGGGGTTTCTGTTTCCTTGAATATGAAGATCACAAAACTGCCGCTCAGGCCAGACGTAGGTTAATGAGCGGCAAAGTGAAAGTCTGGGGAAATGTTGTTACGGTTGAATGGGCTGACCCTATAGAAGACCCAGATCCTGAAGTCATGGCAAAGGTAATAAAGCTATGAGGGTACCATAATACATTTAAAGTGCCTTGTTCCAAAGTAAGTACTTCCTGACATTAGCATAAGTTTAAGTAGCATCTTTTAGCCTTCTTGACAGAGATGTTGTAGGTGAGATGATAAAAATATGAACACACTCTAGAATTGATGTGAATTTAAAAACTATTGACTGATGTTATTTTGTGCTCCCAGGGCTGAATGTTGAACATAATTCTTGCCAAAATGGCACATAGGGTGATGTATTTAATTTCTCATCTGGAAGTGGTGGCGGTGATTCCAAAAGTTAAAATGGTTTTGTAGCTTAATATTTGGAGGGACAGAAATCTAGATATGATCACAGAACAAGCCTTAGTTCTTTTTAACCCTGGAACTTTGTCTATCGCTTCAGAATTGGCGTATGTCAGTAAGGTGCACAAACGTATCTTCAAAGTTGCCTTTAGCAGTTACTTCTGAGAAGTTAGGCAATTACTTTGTATTTGGAACTCATATGTATCTTTTTAATTTGGGAGGGGGTTAATTCCTGAAAATACTAGGACTAGTAATATTTTGGATTTCGAATATTTCAGTGAAACTGAAGTCTGGACTGTTAATGTTTTGAAGTACCTGTAGCAGTTGTTTTATATGTGTGTGTGATATTTTGTCAGAAACGAATTACCTGAATTTTTTTTTCCATGAGATAATGCCCAACCCTTTTTTTTTTTTTCCAGTTATGTTGTGTAGCTGAGTTGTTTAATGGAAACTCCTAGCTAGCCCATATCCTTATCTCTTTCTCTTTGCTTGCTTTTCATCTGTGCTTTTACTCTCATCTGAGACACGTCACTTGCTGGAGTCCTACTTTGATGGACCTAGTAAGATAGCTTGGCTGGGATCTCCTCTTTGGTGAGCCATAAGGGAAAAGGGTTGGGGTGGGGGCTCATTTTAGGGAAAAAGCTGCTTTTGTAATACAGGTATTACAGAAGCTTTTGGACTGCCCTGTCTGCAGACTTTGTTTCTTGCCCGGCATCATAACTGTCAGCAGTGGGGAAGAGTCTTGCAGGTAAAATTTGTCGAAGGTGGCACTTCCTAAATATGGCGGCCTATCTATCTGTTCAGCTTCTTGGCTCAAAAGAGAAGAGACCTAATCCAGCGACCTGTTAAAATAAATGAGCAGGAACTTCTGCTGACATGACTGAATAGATGAGCAGGAAGTGATAGGGGATGTAATCGGGTATCTTTCCTAAGTAAGTTTACAGATGTGGGGAGTGAAAGGCTAAAGAAATTAAATCTTGGTAGCGGTTTGCCCCATTTAGTATACAATTTTTTGAATGTGTTAATGCCTTGTATTGTTTTGTATTTGAAATAGGACATGAAAAGGGAAGAAACATAAATATGGAAAATGTGCAGAAAATCAACTTGTATACTTCTAGAGCCATATGCCAAAGATTAGGGCATGGAGCTTGGGTTGAAGACATAGAAAAGTGAGACTATGTGAATGAGAATACTGAAAAAGTAGAGAACATCTAGCTTGTATCTGAAGGCAGAAGTTGAGGCCAGCATTGGTGTCTGACCTTTCCCGCTGGCTGTGTCTCTTAGTTTATTCTTGCAACAAGGAAAGTCTCTACTCCAGTCTTTCTTGCCCACTTAGTGTACATTTGGAGAAACTCTGACCGCATCTGGCACTTCTGGAAGTGTTAGGTTTACTTTCTGCTGTTTATTGCTGTCTTTTTTCCGAAGAGAAAGAACAGCTGAGCTGCTACTGCAGTCAGTAATCTCCCAGATGTGAGCTGCGGGTTGGCTGTCGTTGCTTCTGAGTACCGTCAGTCGGGAGCAAAGGGAGAGCTTTTGACCCTTGTCTTGCACATTGCCGTGGTAGAAGGCTCTGGAGGAAACACTGTGAGTAGGAGGAGTAGGTTGCTTTTATCAGAATAAACATCTGATGGGTGGTTTTCTTGTCAAGACTGCTAGAAAAACAAGTCCATAAGAGCAAACTATGGGGAAGGCAAATTCACCTTTGTAGCCAGAAGGTGAACAGTGTTGTTCTGAATACTTTGCAGGAGCAGCATGTCATTTCTTCAGAATATGGACACCTACTAATTTAAATTTCTGAAATGTTTTCTCGAGCCTTTTTTTCTTTTTCCTCCAGACTTTTGCTTAAATGTGGTGGAGACTACTGTATGGATGCATACTTAAAATTTAAATGGGGTGTTACCTTAAACACGAAGTACCTTGAGCGTGATGAGGTAGAAAGCTAGATTCTGAAGCTAGACACGTGCTATAGGAGATTAGTGCTTGTACTGACAGATCAGAGTATAATTGGTTAAGTAATTGATTTCTGGTCCAAAGTGAAGTTTTTTCCAACTTTCAGTAGCTGTGTTGATAACTTAATTTCTCCTAAGTGTTATTTTGATGCCTCTTATACCTGTAGTGCAGATAAATTTCTTAATGTTTTACTTGACTTCTGTAGCATGGCTGAGGCTACAGAGGACATTTTGGAGTGGCAGGTTAAGCAGCTGAATAAAGTCTTATGCTTGTGGCTGCCTGGTAGATTACAGGGCAGGAGACAGCCCTTGAAGAATGTGGTAATGAAGTCGAAGTGTTTGCGCTGTAGGTAAGAGGAGGAAAAGGAGCAGATCCCAGAAATTTTGGGGGTAGTCTAATCTTAAGCCGTTTTAAGGTGGGTTCTACCTTTATGACAAAATGCTGCTGCTGGGTATATTGCTTGTTAGGTGTGTGTTTATGGATCTTTGGTGTTATCTGTGAGCCTTAATAAAGAGGACTTCCTTTTTTTTTTTTCTTCTTCCCTCTTTAGATAGCTTAAATGAAGTAAAAATGGGTTCATCTTCTCTCAACCTACGCTTTAACCTGCCCCCTAGCTTTGACATCAGCTTTGACTGGTTTAGCTATGCCTCTAACCTGTAACACGACCAAAGGTGTTAAAAAAAAAATTCAGCTGTTAGAGATTAATGGATTTGTGTACACTGGAAAACATTTAAATTAGTTGCTTTTTACTTCTTTAAAAAATGTTGTGTTAGTGCATCTTGTAACAAAAAAGTGATGATTTTTGAGGTTTTTAGTCATGTCTGACACTGTCAGTCATTGTGGATTTATTAGAGAAGGCTACTTAGGGTTCCTCATGAGATTCTAGTCTTCATCCTTTCCTAGAGTACAAGAATAAGGAACACTTGTTTGAGAGTTACCGGGTTTTAAAACTGTTGATTACATCACAAAACTTCTTGTAATTCATTTTCATGAAATAAGGTTAACGTAGCAATTAGGACACGTTACTGAAAATGGTTATTACATATGGGTTGCAGGAAATAAAGGTTGCTCTTACCATCAAGGCATGTAGGAGAAGCTTAACAGAGGATAGGAATTAGCCAGCTCCACAAAGAAGGCCATGACTTTTATCATCTCCCGAGAATCAGCAAGAGTAACTATTGCCAAAGACGAGAGTTTGTACGCTGGGTCAGACTTACAATCTGTAGTATCCCTTCTTACAAACTCTGCATCCCATCCTAGTTTGACTAGCGAGTGAGACAGATTTATGGAAGTCTGTCCTGTTTATTTGTAACTTAATTACATAGTAATTCTTATAAAAAGGATGTCTGGGTTTATTGAGTTCCTGTATGTGGTGGGAGTAGAGATTATAGCTCTGCTTCAAAAGTCGAAGCATGCTTTCTTTGGTTCCTTAACACCCTGTGTTATTTGTATTGACCTTTGGGGTTAGGAGCGGGAAGTCAGTGCTGCCCATGTACAGTGTTTACTTACTTTTTGTCATCAGCTAGTTTGAAACCACTGGTAGCAGAGGGGATGTGAACAGAACTTGTAGGTCTTTGCCGCTGATATGCAGCTGCATTGTAGGAAAGTAAGACTGAGCATTCTTTGGCAGTAGGAAGTGACTAGGCTGTCGGGGCATGGTGGCAGCGTATGGCAGGGACTCTCCCCAGCAAGTCAGAGGCTTGTAAATTGTGAGAACTCGTGGATGACATCATGCAAACATGCTAACATACAGTCATTTAGTGCAACCTCAGTGTGGATGCGAGGACAAGTCTTCGAATACTAATGGGTCACTAACGTACGTGATTCCTGGTGTCCAGTGTACATTGTCTGCTATATTAAATAAGAGTCTAGTTTAAGCCTTTGTCAGACTGCTCTGTATTTTCTTTTATCGTAAGCAGTTGGTGGTTGATGAGACTTTATATTGATGATTTAGTCACTGTCAGGCAGCTAACGGGGCATATCTCAATAGTTGAAAGATAACCAACCTCTCTGATTTTATAAGCTGCATAGCAGTCTTTGTGTAGTTTAAGAGCTGTATTGCATGCTTTAGGGAGCTGGGGGAGGGAATAGACTTTCAGAGTTACTTGAAGCTGGCTGTTCCTCAAGGGAAGGATACGGTTTGACTTGTGAGAAAGTCCAAGGGTGACTTGGCAGTGTCAGCCTCAGTATCCCCTTCTGTCTGTGTTCTCTCTGCTAGCTGTGGATTCAGGTCACTGAGTGCTCCTCAGGCAAGCACAGTCCTGATGCTAGGTATTTGGTGTAGCTATAGCATGGGAGCCACAAGTTAAGCAGCTTGAGAGCTGCAGGCCTGTCACCTCTGACCTAGATATTATAGTGATGACTGTTCTGCAAATACCTGAGCAAAAACCTGTCTAAACAATGAAATGTTTTGACAAGTTAATTATTTTGTGTGTAACCAATCCTGGATGCCTTCTTTCAAGTTTGAAAGTGTTCTGAGTTCAAAATTACTGCTGCTAGGATTCTTTTAAACATTAACACAAATTGGGTTGACTTCCAGGATACTAATACTTACGTACTCATGTTTGAAAACATTTAATATTTCTATTGGGGAATTTTGGAGCCAACTCATACTGTATGAATATATAAATACACGTATTCATGTATATAAAATGCTGTACATAAAATGTAATTAAGATTTCAGTACTGCCTATAGTAATGGCTTGCAAAACTTCATTTTGCATTTTGGAATTAGATCATACTTCTAAGTCTTTCTTTTTTTTTTATTTCTTTTAGGTAAAAGTTCTGTTTGTACGCAATCTTGCCAATACTGTAACAGAGGAGATACTAGAAAAGGCCTTTAGTCAATTTGGAAAGCTGGAGCGAGTGAAGAAGCTAAAAGACTATGCTTTCATTCATTTTGATGAACGGGATGGTGCTGTAAAGGTAAGTGAAAAGGACTCTGTGTGTGTGTAAGTAGTGACTAAGCATAACATTTAGAAGCTGTATAATTCTTTTAACTTGAGAAAAAGCTCTGTCTGGAGAAATGGTAACACATTGTCACTGATAACTTTGTCATCTCTGGGCGTCTCCTAGGAAGACGCAGTTGCTAGCTTGAAAAGTGGATCTTAGATGGACCTATCCTAAGTAATTCTGCTGATAAGTGTCTAAGATAATCATATGTGTTATCATTTGAAACTGAAGTGCCAGAATTTGAATGACTCTTCTCACCAAATTATTGGTAGAATCTAGAGCAGTTTCTCTAGGGCAGGTGATAAAAACTTAGGTAATCTTTTTATTTTCCAGGAACAGAACGACTTCCTTTTTATGGTGTGGAATAAACACCTTTTCTTTTTGATGAGAGGTGCTGGACAATTGAGTAATTGTCATTCCTGGGTTTTGCTAGCCTGGTCTTGGTGTTTTTTCTCCTGTGATCTGTCATTAGGAAGGGGAAAGTGCAATTCCTCTCCTGCCTATAGTGTATCTATTTTTTATGTTCTGTGGGAGGATGCAGGATACAAGGGAATTCAGTTTTTCTTACTCATCCAGATGCCTTAAAGCAGATGCTTAGGAAGATGATGGAAAGAGTCTTTTCATAGGATATGAATCCCATCAAGGCTTAGCTATGTGGAGTCCTTAAAAGTGGTAGAATCTTTAGGATTCCCGTGCTTGGATTTAACTTGTAGCAATTACTGTGATCCGTGGGAATTGTACATGTGTGTGTGTTGGTGGGTTTTGTGTTGGGTTTCTTTTTTTTCTTTTTGTCATGGTTTGTTTTGGGGTGTTTTTGTGGTCAGAATGAGACTGTTAAATTCTGATTTTTAACTTCTGATTTAGAAAGCAAGCTGCATTTATTGCAAGTAAAATAAAGGAGTAAAAAACATACACTGATCTCTAGCTTTAGTAGTGTTTGCATGTGTGCTAACATTAGAAATTTATTCCCTTATTGCAAAACCTGTACTTTCAGAGGACAGTTCCTTCACTTCATTAATTGAAACAGCTTGCAAAGATTGAAGGCTATTTACAGTTTTGAGTGGAAGATTTCTAAACTGATACATTCAGTCCTGGGTTTGAGAGCCAAGTTAAGAGGAAACGCATAACTCTGGAACCCACAATACAATGCTGTCTGATTATTTAAAAAAATTTTTTAGCTTTATATTGTTAATTTAGCTCTGGATAACAAATTTTAAAATGCATGGTCTAAAAGATAGAATAAAATTAATAACTTCAGATATGCTTAGAAGTATATTTAAAGTCTGGTTAATTCCTTCAGGCAATGGAAGAAATGAATGGCAAAGATTTAGAGGGAGAAAACATTGAAATTGTTTTTGCTAAGCCACCAGATCAAAAAAGGAAAGAACGGAAAGCTCAGAGACAAGCGGCTAAAAATCAGATGTAAGTGTAAATGCATGCACATATGTTGTATTGCTTCTGAAAGACATGTACACTCCTACAGAATTAGAACTTCTGGGTATTTTAGTAGGTATACTGTAGCGTATACAGGTTTTCTGGCTTCTCTGAAGATGTTGGATTCATTTAAGTTGTTTGCATTTTACTTAAGATCTAGTAGTGGTGTTGGTGAGAATTTAGGTACTGTTTTGCTCTGCTCATTGAGTGTGAGAGCACCAGAGGAAATGTTTGAAGGTCATGAAATGTACACACTTCTCACTTTTTATTCTAAACGTTCATGCACTTCTACACTGATACGTCATGTGGATGAACTTAGCAACATGTGCTCCTCCCAGTGGGCTTAGCAGTACTGATACAGCCCCCCCGTTTAGTAAAGTACTCACTGAAAGGAGGATCCTGACATTCTTTTTTGCCACTTCCAGAAGATAGATCTGCTCTTGAGGCTTATAAACTCATACTAATAGATATCTTGCACTAATAAAAGCTGAACATTGCAAAAAAAAAAAAAAAGGGGGGGGGGGGCATTTCTTGCTAGTGTGTTCTGCTTAATGTTCTCATGTGTTTTTCTTCTTGGATATCTTGTAGCTTTC